TTCTGTGAGATGTACTTCCATAAAGAAGGCGCGCTTGATGTCTGTTGCCTTCGTCGTTTGCCTAAATTAACTCTCCCCTTCCCAATCCATTTTTTTCGATGTTATCTCCAACGCATCATGGACTGGATTTCGGCATCGTCAAGGAGGAGTCGGACAGCCGGACGGCACGATACCTGATCCAATCGTGCGGGTACAGGGCACTCTGCAAGGACAGCCTAGGATGGCTGCCCGAGGACTGGTATTTCGGGAGGGACCAAACTGGAGGCCTCCTCCTCCACACGACTCTCGGGGGAGCCAGAATACAGGTGTGTAAGGGTGGCGCTCCTTCCATCTCTGCTGCCGGCGAAGGTTGTCATCTTAGAGAGTTCAATAAGTTGATTTGGGAGTAAATGAGCGTTCAAATTCGCCACTTAGCCTGTGGTAGTACTCTCTCTCCCCATTGTTCCGGCGCCTCATCTCCACTGTCTGTCTTGTCCGTATGGGGCCACAATGATGCACGCCTTTTTTTTGTGTGTGTGTCTGCTTTTGTTTCTAGTGCTTTGTATTACCGGTTAGATCGAGGGAGAAGCGCTAATCTGTTTTCGTGATTCGAGACGCACAGGTCACGATCGGTGCGCCAGACATTGCCGGCCGTGGTACGGTGCTTGATATCACTTTCAACGATCTGAGCGTCAAGGATTCAGCACAACTTAACGGCAAGAACTACGTCGAGGGCGCGGATGATATCGTCAAGGTATGTTAGGTGGGAGCACTTTACGTGATAGTTCTCCGGGCGTGACATGGACGTGCCCGCGACAGGAAGCAGGGCGCTTGTCTGATGGATAGGTTCCCTACATGAGACGAGAATTTGCCACCGATTTTGTACTTACAATCTTCTCATTGTTGGCGTTTTTCGTGTTGTCTTCTTTCTTGTCGCGCCTTGTGAAGCTTGTAGGGGCGATCGGACGTGTGCGGCCCTATAGGGGAGTGTGCCGCAGTCATATGTTCGAAGACAAAGACGTGCCCCTCGAAACAGTTGCGGCGTTTGGGACCGTAGTCCGTCAGGCTCTACGAATCCTAGAGAAAGTTCCCGACATCCTGCAACCGCATGACCGCGACCGCTGGCAACATGCCGATGTCAGGGGTGTCCTGGCGGGCCCCAACGGTCATGTTTCGGGCGTGATGGGGTTGGTGGGTAGGGAGGATGTGCTTTGGTCGAGGAAGTGCACAGGGTTCGCTACCCCTAGTTATGGTAGAACGGGCGTCCCGCGTTGCACACACTGCAAAGACTTCTATCGCCGGGGTATGACTCCGAGGACGGCTCACGCGGCAAAGCATACTCCGGCCAAGAAGACCAGGGTCAGCGAGATGAGCACTGCCCAAAAGGTGAGTGGTTTTCGTGGCGGGAGGTTCAGGCTTGAGGGCCTGTGACACTCCTGACGACTTTCCGTCGGTGTGCCCCATTCGGAGTAGTAACCACAAGACCAAACATCCGTCGGCATGTAATTGGAATTCTCCAATTTTTTCAACGCCTTATCTGTGGCTTCATGTCGATCAATGTACCGCAGGAGAGGCAGCTGCTTTTGTTGGCGCTTGAGAAGAAGAAGCACAAGGCCGAAATGGCGCGGCTTAGGGCGCGGCTCCAACAGGCGCGCAGAGAGTGCGTCCGCATCAGCAAGGAGCAAGGCGAGGCTCTTCACAAGCTCCTCCTGAGCGAGAAGACCATGGGAGTGTTCGGCAAGCTCCCGAAGGCGAGCGACCAACGAATTTTTTTCGAGGTTAGTCTTAAAAAAAGATTCTTGGGACCTGCACCATGGATGCCTCCATATCCTTAATGGAATGGTTACGTGGGGGG